AACGGTGTCCAAACGAACGGTGGGCAAATGAACGGTATCCAAACGAACGGTGCACGTCTTTCTGTGTCCAAATGAACGGTGTCCAAATAAGCGGTGTCCAAATGAACAATGTCCAAGTGAGCGGTGTTCAAGTAAACGATGCGTATTTTCTTATGTGTCCAAAAGCTACTGTATCCTAAATTACTGTGTCCAAATGCACTGTGTCCAAGTGCACCGCTCCCGTGGTAACACAGTTTGTCGGATTGGCGGCGCTTCGGAAATCTCAAGGTCAACTCCACTTTTTCAAATAAGACGACTATTTTTTTGCGTAATTTGATAGAGAAGCTCAAAAAACGTTAGGAAGGTAATTTACAAGATTGACAATTAATATTAAACATAAAGAATTTATAAAAAAGTAGTTAAATTAATATTAATAAAATATTAATATTAATATTAATAAAAACTCATGCTTATGAAATGTGCTCAAATATATAAAACTTTTGTAGGAAAAAATTTGTCGTAACTGTTCTAGACTCGAAGATATTCGAGGTGGCAAGAGTTACTGGTCCACCCTGTATACTGTGTCCCAGAAAACACGGTCTACATCTCCCCTAACTATTGAAATTGATTGCAGTCCTAATTCCGTGATGACATCTAGAAGCAAATGTATTGCTTCCTTTATTATTTCCATTTCTACTATTTCCGGGATTCGTTCTTTCACCACTAGTGTTATGATGCGGCGATTGCCATTTCGGTGTATTTTTGAGCTGTTACAAGAGTAATGTAAGAATGAGATAAGTATTATGTAAAAATTATATGGAAATAATCATAATAACTAGAAAGAGAAATTGGGAAAATTGTGTTGGGACGTGACATCTTCCTGTCGTAACCCGACTAATTTCTTAATATTAAAATATAAAACAGTAAAGTAGGACAGGAAAGATTGAGAAAGAGCTGATTAAAGCAAAGCATAAAAATTAAGGAAAGAGCCCAAGGAAAAGTAATCAAGAAAGAATAAAAATTATTAATAAAATAAAAGTTTAGTGCTGTTCACATACAGCAACTAAAGTGGTGACCCCGACAAGGAAAACATGCCAAAAGACAAAGACATGACGATAATCGCCGACGACGAAGAGAGCAAGGTCAACAGAATAGCAGTAAGAATTCCACCATTCTGGCCGGAAGAACCAGAATTATGGTTTGCGCAATTAGAAGGGCAGTTTTCGCTATGCGGAATAACACAAGACGAAGCCAAATACGCATACGTGCTATCAAAAATGGAGCCAAGACAAGCACGGGAAATTAAGGATGTAATAACACACCCGCCGGCACATCACAAATATGAGGCAATTAAAAAAGCACTCATACAAAGGCTGATAGACTCCTACGAAACGAGGATAAAGCAGCTACTAGAACGCGAAGAGCTGGGCGACCGCAGGCCATCACAATTCCTCTGGTATCTCAGCACATTGGCAGGCACAGCAGTACCGAACGAGTTGCTAAGAACTCTCTGGCTTGGACGACTACCACAACACATGCAGGCCATATTAGCAACGCGCAGCAATGATAACCTAGAGGAAGTAACAGAGCAGGTAAACCACATCCACGAGATCGGCAACAATAAGGCGCTAGTATTAGCAACACGGGGGCGACGAAAAGAGCCTATGGGAAGAACAAATGCAAGCTCTCAGCAAACAAGTCGCTGCGCTGACCACACAGATGGCGAAGGTAGCCGCTCAGTGGGACAAAGACAGAGTTAGAAGCCGATCACGGAGCAAGACACCCAGATAAGAAGGAGTGTGCTATCATCACGAAAGTGCACACAACCGTGCATATACAAAAAAGAAAAAAACGAGGAGGGGAGTCGATAATGGCGGCCAGCGACGCTAGCCCGAAACCCAGCCGCTTGTTTATGACAGACCGTATCTCGAAAACAAGATACCTCATAGACACCGAATCGGACGTCAGCGTTTACCCACACACAATGGTGCAAGGGAAACAACGAGCGGAGGCATACGAACTCTACGCAGCAAATGGCACAAAAATCGCAACGTACGGCTACATAACGATAAAACCCAATTTTGGCCTACGAAGGGAATTTCTATGGCGGTTCATCATCGCCAACGTCACGCAGCCGATTATAGGATCAGACTTTCTCTCGCATTACCACCTGCTCCCGGATATCCGCAGAAGGAAGCTGATCGACGGAAAAACCGGACTGACCGTCTCAGGAGCAACCAGCGATAGCGAGACAGGCTCCATAAAAGCAGTACTGAGCAACACGAAGTACCATCACGTAATATCGGAGTTCCAGAGCATTACGCAACCAACAGGAATGAGGAAGACGGCAAAACACACCACAAAATCTTACATAAAAATGACAACGGGACAACCGGAAGCACGCCGTACAATGGTGCAAGAGAAACAACGAGCGGAGGCATACGAACTCTACGCAGCAAATGGCACAAAAATCGCAACGTACGGCTACATAACGATAAAACCCAATTTTGGCCTACGAAGGGAATTTCTATGGCGGTTCATCATCGCCAACGTCACGCAGCCGATTATAGGATCAGACTTCCTCTCGCATTACCATCTGCTCCCGGATATCCGCAGAAAGAAGCTGATCGACGGAAAAACCGGACTGACCGTCTCAGGAGCAACCAGCGATAGCGAGACAGGCTCCATAAAAGCAGTACTGAGCAACACGAAGTACCATCACGTAATATCGGAGTTCCAGAGCATTACGCAACCAACAGGAATGAGGAAGACGGCAAAACACACCACAAAATCTTACATAAAAATGACAACGGGACAACCGGAAGCACGCCGTCCACGCAGATTAGCACCAGACAAGCTGCAAGCCGCAAAAGCAGAATTCGACCTGCTGTTACAAGAGGGAATCATACGTCCATCAAAAAGTCCATGGGCAGCACCACTACAAATGGTTCCCAAGAAGAGCAACGCATGGAGACCATGCGAGGATTACCGAAGGTTCAACGCAAGGACGACGCCGGATCGATATCCAATACCGCATATCGAGGACTTCGCACAAACGCTACATAATATAAAAATCTTCACCACCATCGATCTTGTACGGGCATACAATCAAATATCCGTACCCCCGATGGATATAGCAAAGACAGCGATAACAACACCGTTCGGATTGTTCGAATTCGTATTTATGCCGTTCGGCCTACGAAATGCAGCACAGACGTTTCAACGCTTCATAAACGAAGTATTGCACGGGTTGGATTTTTGCTATGCCTATATAGATGACATCCTCATAGCATCAGCCACGCCAGAAGAACACGAAGACCATCTACGACAACTCTTCACAAGGCTAGACGCATATGGCATCCGAATAAATCGAACCAAATGCATATTTGGAGATAGCGAAGTAAAATTCCTCGGCTATCTCGTTTCGGAGGAAGGAACAAAACCCTTACTGGAAAAAGTGGAAGCCATAAAAAGTTTCCCAAAACCAATCAACGTCAAACAACTACGACAGTTCCTAGGAACAATCAATTTTTACCGGCGATTTATCCCAGGAGCAGCAAAAAATCAGGCCACGTTGAACGACGTACTCAAGGGCCCAAAAATGAAAGGAAAAATTCCGATCATATAGACAATCGAGTTGGAACAGGCATTTGACAACTGCAAGGACAGTCTCGCTAGAGCCACGCTTCTGGTGCACCCGGATCTTTCAGCAGATCTGGCGCTGACAACCGACGCATCTGACACAGCAATCGGAGCAGTACTGCAGCAACAGACATAGGAAGGATGGCAACCGTTGGCGTTTTTGAGCAAAAAGCTCAACCAAGCGCAGACGAAATACAGTCCATACGATCGTGAGCTATTGGCGGTGTATACGGCTATTAAACATTTCAGACACATGGTAGAAGGAAGAAAGTTTACAATCTACACCGACCATAAGCCCATCGTATACGCCTTCAACCAACATCCACTGCGCAGCTCTCCACGACAGGCCCGCCACCTCGAGTACATAGGACAGTTTTCCACCGACATTCGACACGTATCTGGCAAAGACAACACAGTGGCGGATGTACTGTCAAGGATAGAGGAGATACACAGGTCGGAAACGAAGAATTAGCAGCAGCACAGAGAGATGACAAGGAGTTACAAAGAATCCTAGCCAACAAACAGGGACTGAAACTAACCAAGATACGGATTCCTGGCACTGCATCTATTACAACGCAGCCACACCGATAACACGCCCATACGTGCCTAAGCCACTGAGAAGGCAGGTCTTCCAGGCCCTGCATGGCTTAGCACATCCGGGAACTAAAGCATCGGCAAAACTGATCTCGCAACGATACGTCTGGCCTCAAATCCAAAAAGATTGCAACATATGGACGAAAACCTGCGTTCAGTGTCAACGAACGAAGATAACAAGACACAATACTGTACCACTAGAAACGTTCCAGAAACCAATAGCACGGTTCGAACACATACACATGGACATAATCGGCCCTCTGCCACCATCGAATGAATACAAATATTGCCTCACAATCGTCGACCGATATACACGGTGGCCAGAAGCTACACCGATACCGGACATCACGGCAGAAACCGTCGCGAAATTTCTGTTCACAGAATGGATTACATGGTACGGGACACCAGCAAGGATCACAACGGATCAAGACCGACAGTTCAAAGCCGACCTCTTCCGACGTCTTACGCAACTCACAGGATCAGCACACCTCCGAACAACGGCATATCACCCGGCAGCAAACGGGATGGTCAAACGCTTCCATCGACAGCACAAGGCAGCAATAAGTGCCACCAAACAGACGCATGAACCGAAGTGCTTCCGATCGTACTAATGGGCATACGAGCAGCACACAAAGAAGATCTGAATGCCACTACAGCAGAATTAGTCTTCGGGGAACCAATCCGCCTACCCGGACAGTTTCTGCAAGACCAAGGAAGGACGCCACAAACAGACAAGAGCGACTTCGTCGAGCAACTACGGAGGGCAATACAGAAATTACGACCACAACTTAAGCGTCACGGACAGACAGCTACGTTCATATACAAGGACATGAACAGCACGCCGAGAGTATTTGTACGACATGATGCACCCGCAGGGGCATTACAGCAACCCCGACGAGTCATTCGAAGTACTCAACAGGGGCGAAAAAACATTCAAGCTCCGGATCAGAGGGAAGACGGTGAACGTCTCCATAGACCGGCTAAAACCAGCCTACACACTGATAGAGCAGACGACAGCTGAGAACACCAGAACAGAAACAACGGAGGATGTTATCCAGAAGCCACACGGACAAGGAGTGGACGACAGACACGACTACCAGTCCGATTCGCACCACGATAGGAAGGCTCTACCTCAACCAGGGGGGTCCTGTGGCGGTTCGACGAATCACCACAAAGTCGAAGCGACTACCCGGTATATGCGCCGACGAACTCCGACGCGCAAAGCGCGCGGAGAGCGCGCGCAGACACGGAACGAGACGCAAGAGCTCACCGCGACGCGGCTACCGCCGCGAGCCACTAACAGAGAGTTGGATCCGCTGAGTGGGACTTATAAGACCACACATCGGGACCAGACACCGAGTCGCCGCTCACAGCTGACGGAAGCTACAACCCAGAAGGAAGCCACAGCCTAGAAAGAAGCTACAACCTAGAAGGAAGCTACATCCTAAACGGAAGCTATAACCTAGAAGGAAGCGACAGCCTAGAAGGAAACCACAGCCTAGAAGGAAGCTGCAGCCTGGACGGAGGTCACAACGCAGAAGGAAGCACTGTCACAGACGTGGAACAACCTCGTACATAAACGGAGGGACACGGTCACAACCGAGCCATACCTTCCCTCACGTGGCGAGAGAGAACTCAGAGTTAACCCACTCGGCTCAGAGTCGCACAACTCGGCGCTGTTAAGACAAGCAGACTATTGTACCAACCATATTTATTGAATAAATCTAGTCACTCCACTTGCGCTTCGTCAATTAAGAAACAACTCCTTGCGAACAAAAATTAGTTGCTGTATGTGAACAGCACTAAAAAGTAAGTGACTAAAGAGAAGGAAGTCACGGCCAAGTTCTCGGAAGCTGAGTAAGCAGCTGAAGAGACGGACTGACAAGCGGAGCACGAGACATGCTCCGGTCAGGGTCACCACATTCCTCCCTAATCAACGACCTAATCAATTAATATATATATTAAGCACCGACGGTCGCTGGCTCGCTCATTAACATAATCGCATCGTATCGAAGTACTACACGTATCGCGCCCGATCCTTATAACCGAGAAGGAAGCCACGGCCAAGTTCTCGGAAGCTGAGCAAGCAGCTGTCGAGACAGACTGACAAGCGGAGCACGAGACATGCTCCGGTCAGGGTCACCACATTCCTCCCTAATCAACAACCTAATCAATTAATATATATATTAAGCACCGACGGTCGCTGGCTCGCTCATTAACATAATCGCATCGTATCGAAGTACTACACGTATCGCGCCCGATCCTTATAACCGCGAATAAGTGAAAAGTGTACAGAATCTTGTGAAATATACTAATTTATACCTAACATCCGGGAGTGTCTTATTTCGAGCGTGGATCCTAATCCTTTGGGCGTACAAATCCCAAAAGACCTCTTCCTTAGTGGCTAGAGGCACAACATTAATTGGTGGCAGTGGTGGGATACGCCAGCTCTAATAGGATCGACACCGGCAAAGGTCTATAACCACGAGGAAGAAAAATTCTGTGGAATCGACAGAACGAGAGA